ATCTAAAGGTGGATGTCTTATATAAGTGTGAGTCAGGTAATTTAAGGGGATGAGAAAAGCTATAAAAAGTTTGTTTCGTTTACAAAATGGTCTCTTTCTTCATTCGTATCTGTCGTTGAAAAGTTGAAAGCAACGGTTAGATTTGATCTTCTTTCTGCGAGTAATCATAGGTAGATAGTCTTCAATTTTTAGTCTTTTATGTTTTTTTTGTTTGGGTGTTGAGTAGTTAATGTTATTTTACAACAGTCTTTCAACTTTCCAGTCTCTCCTTTGTATCTCTTTCTCTGAAAGTTAAGATTAAAATATTTCACTTCTTCTATTCCTCTTTTTCAAAATCCCACAAGATTAATAGTCAATCTTTGATTTTGGACTGAAAATTAGCTTTTATCAGAAGATGCTGCGTACGAATCGTACCTGTGAGTTCAAGAATGGGAGCTAGTTTATTTGTTGTGACCGAGATGAAGAAATATAAACATGTGTCTAAAGATGTGAGGATAGATCAGAAGTTGTTTTTGGTTGAGGATGAGGAAGAGCCTTTAGGGGAAGCTGTTAAGATTACTGAAAGATCTCGTCTTTCAAGCTTTTCTATCATCGTGGGGTTAGGTGGTATTTCTTGGTTGTGCAAAGCGTTGGAGGTGGCAATTCAATGGAGAGGTCCAGTGACGTTCTTCAGAAAATTTAGATGTTACTCATATCAATTATGGGTTGCAAGGAGTTCCAACAGGAGAGGGCACTCTATTACTATTTCAAAGTTTACATCCTCAAGCAAGAGAGATTTCATAGGTGTTCCTTATGGAGAGAACGTGAAAGGATGGAGGAGTTTTCAACGAATGCTTAGTGATATGTTGAAGGGTGATGGAATTGCTGGAGATGTAGATATGCAGGAGACTGAAATTGTGGAAAATAAGGATACTGATAGGAGTGCAGATATTTTTAGCTATTGAAAGAGTGCAGTTATATGTAAGTGGGAAAGCATATTTATTCCATGGAGGAGCATAAATCAAAATCTGAAAATAAAGCTAAATGTTGATATTCAGTTGTTGCCATTTCAGCTTGATAAGACTGTATTCTTCTGCGAAAACGAGGAAAATGCTGCTTCCATATGGAGTGTAAATGCAATCACGACAGAAAATGTTGGTCTGATTAAATTTTTGAAATGGGTTCCAGAATCTAATTTAGGAAGAAATCGAATTTCGTTTTTGGGAGGATTGATTGGGATTGAAGATTTACCTTTTCATTTGTGGAAAGAAGAAGTGTTTAGGAAGATTGGGGACTGCTGTGGTGGTTTCGATCAGGTTGATCATGGTACTCTGTCTCTGTATAATTTGTTCCAAGCCAAAATGATGGTGGGAAGATGTGAAAAGGGGTATATACCATCATTATTGAATGTTGAATTTCAAGGGAAAATTATCAGATTACTGTTAAGGTAATTTCAAATCTTGGTGGGTCAGTTTCTGATCGAATGAAACTTCGAGAATTGTATGATAGCACAAAAACTCGGTACTCCAGACTGAAGGTAGAAGACGATGACATGGCAAGGAAGAGGATATGTGGCATGATAGATAGAGGGGTTGTACAAAATAATCATGCACTGGGAGGAGAGAATAAAGGAAATGGGCTGATTTCTTGCATAAGACAACCAGGGATTGGGTCTGTCATTAATAATGAATATCTGGCAATTAAGGGGTAGTTAATGCTAATCACGAATTGTTAGCTGTTAATTCAAATTTCAAAATACATGTTGAGAGTCCAGCTGTAGGTGGGAGAGTGACTAATGAATTAATTGCTGATTTGGGGCTTTTGTGCTGTAGAAATGGAGTGGATCCTGGTCCAGTAGATCAGCTTGGACTGGTTATCTGCATGAACTGGACCAGATAACGCAGTAGGTGCCTGAACTGGGTGGGAAGCTGCCTGAACCAGGTGGAAAGCTACCTGAACCGGATGGAAGCTGTCTGAAACGAACTGAATTGGACTGGAGAATACAGTTGAGATGAACCGGTTTAGTGGGCTGGACCAACTGGACCCCTAACTGGGCTACTGGACTGGGCCTTGCCTAACTGGGCTTCTGGATTGAATCTTGTCTAACTAGGCTGCTGGATTGGATCTTGTCTAACTGGGCTGGGCCAAACCCAAGTTTTCTTATCCAACTGAGGAATAGGAATAGCTGGACTGAAGTTAACCCAAATATGCAGCCAAACAAGGGTCTTCCCTTTCACACCAACTGTGATTAGGGCAACGAACACCACAGCCACCAGATGCCGGAACAAGCACAACTCCGGCAACAGCACCACTCAACAATCCAACGATACCACCAATAGCCACACAAAGGTTACAATGATCAGACAAATGTCATCGACAAAGACGCAGTCACCAACCCATATACAACCAACGTTGAAACCACGATCAGCAACGATGCACAACAGACATCAACACCACTTCGAATCAAAGCAAGAAACTACTTGAACACCATCACTTTCATCAACAGAACATTAACTCCAACAGGAGATGAACTTCGTCAACTTCGACAACACACTGTGTATATATATATATATATATATATTAATATTATTAGATACCAGAGAGAAGGAAAAAAGAGGGAAGGACAAACCCTAAGGACCTTGCTCTAATACCGAGTAAATGTAGAGAGAGAGAGAGAGACGTAAGAAATAATTGGAGGAAGTTAACCTACCTTCCCTTTCAACTCATGTATATGTATCTCAATATGACTAAAGACTACTATATCCCTCTTAGGATATACTTATTACATAAATGCCACTCTATATATTCTAATAGTTATTAAGAGCAAATATGAATTACAGACTACTGGATGGGACCCTAGTAGGGTTGAAAGGGGAGGTTTTCGATGTCCGTGGAAATACATTTCTCAGGGGTTGATAAGACTTTCTCGAAATATTAGGGTGGTGGTGGGAAATGGGATGAAAATTCATTTTTGGGAGGAAGTTTGGATTGGATAGTCATCTTTCTCTTATTTGTTTCCTCGTCTCTATCATTTATCTTCTTATCATGATATGGCCATAGCTTCTATGATTATATCTTATTGTCAATCATATTCTTGGGTTTTTGACTTTCATAGGAATCTTGATGATAGAGATATAAGTGATGTGATACGTCTCTTGAGTATGATTAATGATACCTTCTTATGCCAAGAGTCATATGATAGAAGAAGGTGGATTCAGATTCTTTGGGTGTTTTTTTTTGTAAATCTTTTTATGAGTCACTTATTGATGATTCTTCTCATTTGTTTTTTATACTCGCTTTGATGATTTGGAAAGCTAAAGTGCAGATTAAAGTGAGATTTTGCATGGACTGTTGCACATGGTAAGATTAATACTGTTGATATGCTTAAAAAAATGAGGCCTCATTCTTGTCTTGCTCCGCAATGTTGTGTTATGTGTAGAGGGGATTATGAAAACATAGATCATTTATTCTTACATTGTCCTATTGCTTTGTTATTGTGGTACAAGTTGTTTGGATTAGTGAGTTTGTTGTGGTGATTCCCAAATCCCGCTATTTTTTTGTTTGTTCAAGATTTGATAGGGATTTTGGGAGGAGTGATAAGGGTATGACATTGTGGAATTGTTCTATTTTGAGGGATATTTGGAAGGAAAGAAATGTAAGAATCTTCAAAGATCGTGCTGAGTGTTTGGAAAGTTTATGGCATCCTTTTGGGCTTCGGTTTCTAAGGATTTTAAAGGACTCCCACTCTTTGCAATTTTGGCGGGATGACGATTTTCATGTGATAAATAGGATGTTTATATATATTTCTTTTTTTTAGTTTCATTATGCTTTTCTTTTCTTTTTAGTGGTTGGATTTCTTATCCAACCATTATCATGTACACTTAATTTTGATTAATAAAATTTTTCATTTCCTATCAAAAAAAAAAAAAAAGGCTCAAATTGTAGTTTATCATATTTCAATCATCTCTTAAGTTCTATATCTTTCTATTTGCATTTATACTATGCTTGTTTAATTCTTGCTTTTTGAGAATTTTATATTGCTACATATGTTTTTTGTCTCATTTTCTCAATTGATAAGATCTTACAATTCTCGATCTGATCCTATGATCCCAATCCTAAAGTCTTGCCCATTGATCCAAGATAGGTTCCCAACTTCAAAAACCTTGCCCTACACTAATTAATTTATGTCTAATACAGAAAAATAACAATTCTAACAACTATGAAAGCAAATCTTTGCAAGAATGAACAATTTGTAGGAGAAAAGCCTCTTGCAGAGGCAAACACATCCTCTCCTAGGTTCTCAAATAAACTCCCAACTGAAGTTATCCTCTTGGTTGTATTTCCTGAAAGTCCACTTCTCCATATCATAGTTCTTAACTACATTTTTGAAAATGGCTCCTATTAAAGTAAGTTATGACTAGTTATAGATACAAAAGCAACATTGTGATTTTATAATGCCATTCAAACTTCGTTAAAGAAATTTAATTCATCCATTGAGTGAAAGAAATGTGGACCTTGGATATGTCTTGGATTTTATAACTTGTATGCTCCAGGCATTGGCTATTATTATTCCAAGGAAAAATTGTTCATTCTGTTTACGGTTTTGTTATTCTCAGCAATCCTTAGATTAGTTCTCCTGTTACAACGAATCAACTTGGAACAAACCTTTTGAGCCTTGTTAAAATTGCTAACTCTTGTATAATGAAGGTGCCTCCTTTTTTTTGCTCAAAAAGAAAAAAAGAAAAAGGAGATGCCTCCTCTTCTTCGTAGTCATCAATAAATGGAAATTGTGAAGATATTTGTTGAGCTACTAGGAACTTGCACTTGGCTATAGAAAAATAGCTTTGATATGGAGTGCTGACCATTTCTGCTGACTACCACCACTAGCAGCTTTCTGCTAATTTCAATTGTTGATTCTGTTTGTTAAGATTAGGTGCTTATCGACCTGCTAACCTTCAAGCTCGGTGTTTTCTTGCTTCTTGGGATCAGTGGTGGATACAGATGCACTTCTGGAAAAGGATATGGTAACTCTGGATGAGGCCTTAAAGACAGCAAACAATGCTGTTTTGATGGCTATAAATGCCATCTCCATTTTGATATCTGTAAGTTCTTCCTTCTTTGCTTCTTCTTTGCTTCTTCTTTGCCCCTCAATATTTTATTAGGCTTCTAGATGCCTTTAATTTCTGTTACTATTTATTTTTTTATTTACATATTGTTTTTGTTATGACAGGAGATGCACATAAAATTTCTAGATGTACCCAAAAATGAAGTGAAAGAACTTAAAGCTCCAGAAATTATAAGAGTAGGTTTTCTAGCCTGCTCACTTTGTGTGAACTATTTATGATTTTTTGTATCCACCTCCATCTGAGTCTAGCGAGGGTGAGAGGTGCGCAACATTACCCCAGCATGCAAAGAGTCTGTTTCTGTGATTTGGGTCCACAACACCTAGGTCACAGTTGAAATAGAAAAACTAATATTAGAGTTAGAGAGAAGTCGAGAAGGAAGAAAGAAAAGGAGAAGAGGAGAGAATAATTAGTGTGTAGGCCTTTCCCCTACACTCTCTTATTAGAGAAGGACATAGACAGGTCACAAACCCTTGATCTAGCTCTCATACATCACTAGTATTTATAGTTAACTTACAATAATAAGAATTACACATACACCCTCTTATTATTAATAATTTACACATACTACCTTATTATTCTTAACACTCCCCCTCAAGCTGGACTATATATATCATATAATCCAAGCTTGGAACAAATCGTTGTAAGCCGTGTACAACTCAATGCTTTGGTAAACATATTTGCAAGTTGATCTTCAGATTTCACAAATGAAGTTGTAATTTTCCTAGTTACTATCTTATCCTCGAATAAAGTGACAATCAACCTCAATATGCTTGGTTCTCTAATGAAACACCGGATTGACGGCGATATGGATAGCAGCCTGGTTGTCACAGAACAACTGTAAAGGAAGTTGAACTGGAAACCCAATTTCTTGGAGGAAGTGTAGTAGCCAAGTCAACTCACTCGTCGTATGTGTCATTGCCCTATATTTAGTCTTAGCACTGGATCTTGCTACCATGGATTGTTTCTTACTCTTCCATGAGACAACGTTACCTCCTAAGAAAGTACAATAACTAGTGGTTGATCTTCGATCAGAAGGAGAGCCAGCCCAATCAACAACTGAGAAACCTTCCACTCTAAGATGTTTATTAGCTTGATATAACAGTCCAAGTCCAGGAGCTCGTTTGAGATATTGCAGAATACGAGTAATTGCCTCCCAATGTGGTACTCTATGACACCCCATGAATTGACTTACTATACTGACTGCATAGAAAATATCCGATCGAGTAATAGTGAGATAATTGAGCTTCCCAACTAATCTGGGATACCGACCCGGATTCTTAAATAGTGCACCATCATCCATCAAAAGTTTTTGATTTGGATCCATAGGAACATCAATAGGTCTGCCACCCAGTAAACCTGCTTCCTCTAGCATATCAAGTACATATTTCCTCTAGGATAAACAAATACTCTGTTTAGATCGAGCCACCTCAATACTCAAGAAATACATGAGTTTTTCTAAATCTTTAGTATGAAATCGATCCTGCAAGAATATTTTTAACTTGGAAATCCTCTTAGAATCATTTCTAGTAATCATAATATCATCTACATAGATCACCAATAGAACATATCTAAGATCTGTCTGTCTATGAAACACAGAATGATCTGTTTGATATCAAAGAAGACCACACTCAAACTGTATCTGAAAACTTATCAAACCATGCTCTCGGCGACTGCTTCAAACCATACAAAGATTTTTTTAACCGACATACACTCTTATCATACTCCTCCTGAGTAGTAAACTCAGGTGGCTGCTCCATGTATACCTCTTCAACTAAGTCACCATGTAGGAAGGCATTCTTGACGTCTAACTGAAACAATGGTCAATCAAGAGTAGCAGCCAAAGAAATCAAGCTATGAATCGAGGAAATTTTAGCAACAAGAGAGAAAGTCTCCTTATAATCAACATCTTAAGTCTGAGTAAAGTCCTTTGTAATAAGCCGGGCTTTAAGACGCTCCATAGAATCATCCCGATGAAATTTAACAGCATACACCCAACAACAACCAACAGTTCATTTATCAGGAGGTAAAGGAATGAGATTCCAAGCCCCGTTATGATATAAGACATCCATCTCCTCCTCTATAGTTTTCTTCTAACTCGAATCAAATAATGCATCTTGTAAATGCTTAGGAATAGATATCGTAGATAATTTGGAAGTAAAACAAGAGAAGGCAGGAGACAAGACATTATATATGACACCCCAAAATTCGGGGGTCCGTTGATTACCCATCAACCCGCGGAATACCGAGTAATTCGATATCACGCTATTATGCTCCATTTACTGGGAACCATAACTTTGACGAAATTCGGGCAGAGTCTCCTTTGTACGGGAAACTCTACCCAAAATTCAACCTGTGCAATCATATAATAACAAGACCCATTCGAGGTCTAATATTCAACAATGACCACACTGGGTCTAATTATAAGTAAACATTGGCCACACCCGGTCTAATTATCCATATTTATATCAACACATGCAAGGTTAGTTTAATAATAGTTTATATAAGTTCTATTACAATTATTTGCAAAAGATTACATGCCCAAAACATTATTTTCACAAATGTTTTACATTAACACAAAATAAAGCCACATTCGATTTTCTTCAAAAATGAGGGTCCAAAGTGGAGTCATCCACCGGTGTATCTCTCCCACCTTAAATGTTTTCCCGTATAGGGTGAGCCAACGCCCAATAGAATAATCCCTATAGAGGCTACTCTCCACCTTAGGTGCATATGTGGTGTGTATAAGCAACAAACAACATTTAATAATCATTCTATACAAGAATATGCATTAAATGTAGAATGTAATTATGTCATGCCATAAAATGAGATAATACTCACTCATTCACTTAAACCCAAGTCATCATCGACTCCTACGACACAATGCAATGCCAAGGTATACTGAATCCGTCAATTGACGAAAAAATCCATCAAATAATCGTTTGAAATAAAAATTGTTTTATTATAAAACCAAATCATTGATGGGTGTTACTCATTGTATGAGTACTTTGTAAATCAAAATCTTGTGTCTTGTTGGGCAACGGATTTTGGATTTTATACCACCGGTTCTGTACACCATACTACACTTTTTCAGAATTTCACCACAGGGGAGTGTATAGCCAAGTCGCCGGGTTTTGCACCTGAGGGGGGAATCTACCCCTTCTTGCTATACCTGACACAAGTTTTTCTTTCATGCAACCATGTGACTCATTCGGATTTTCAACCCAACTTTCCCGAGTCCACCCATTAATCACCAAGAATGGTGTTTGATTAACCATGCATATACACACCCACACTCATGACTCATGCCCATGAATGTGATGTCATGTTTCCGTGCATATGAAATGTGATGCACCGTTGCACAACAACATAATGTTCAATATGCTATGAATGACATATGGATAATTTCCAACACATCCATGGTAAATTATATCCTAAGCATATAAATACCATATTTGTCTCAATGTCAATATATATCAAAACATGCATATATCAACAAGTACATTTCAATCATAAATCATATCATAAGCATATGATTTCACATTATCACATGATCCAAGCATGTTATAGCATAATCTCATGCAATTAACACACTTTATTTCACAAAGGTATTTTATCAAACACCTTAAAGGCACTCAAGTCATATATTCACATAACCATTCCAAGTAACCACATAGCTCAAGAAATCATACCAAGTGATTTCTACAAACCATTTCAAGTAACCACATATTACAAGAAACAAAACTACTTCAAGATAGAATGTATATTCCATCCATTTCTTATATCCACCAAAACACCAACCTCCTGCAAAGGCTATACAACCCCACATGCTTAAACCCCTCTTCTATGAACACCATAAGTTAGAATGAACTAAAGTAGGAAAACCCTACCTCTTGAAGCGTAAATGAATACTAGAACCTCCAAGAACACCCCCAAAAGCTCAAGACTTTGATTTCTTTAAAATCTTGTCTTTTGATCTTCGGTGAAAATCTTCGTTCTTGGTACCCATGCCTAGCCCTCGTCGCGTAGAGCAACTTTAATTCTTGGCTCGAGCGATTCTGACCGACGGATCTTCGGAAAATCGAAGGAGACGGCTTAAGATTTTTGGTTTTTCCCTCTTTGCTCTTTTTTCTGTCTTAATCTCGGATACAACCGGCCATAGGGGAGGAAAAAGCTGATATTTCAGATATTTTACCCCTATTTATAGTTTTAAAGACTTGGCCCTCGTCGCGCCAAGTGTCCTCTTTTGTTCGGGTTCGTTTTTCGCTCCGAAACGATTAAATTTCGTACCGGTTTAAGCTCAAAATATTTTATATGAACTTTATTTAAAATATTTTCTAAATTTTAAAATTTTTATAAAAATTTTGTTTTTGGGGGTCACCAGATACCGTCACCTCAAAAAAAGTGAAAAATCCGACTATCTCGGAATTCGACGAAATTTGTCTGGATAACTAGATTTCGCGAGATGAATCCAACGGTGAGGTCCATTTCATCATCCGAGATCTAGAAAAATATCAGTTTTCAACCCGCACTATAATGACAAATTACCATTTTATCCTTTTTTTTTTTAAGAAGTTTAAATTTTCCCGGGTTTCACATTATATGAAACAAAATGTGCAATGAGATGATTAGTAACACACGAACGAGTACCTTTTCTAAGAATAATAGGTAAAAAGTCTAAATTACCTGATATACCAGGATCAAAAGGTGGAAAGGAAAACGGTACGGGCACCTCCGGCGATGGGCGAGGACGGCGAGAGTAGATACGGAGAGGTAAAGTAGATGGTAACACAGTGGGCAATGAAATATCTGAAGATGAGGAAAAGATAGTGGTATAGGAGATGACCTAAAGTCCAAATTCAAAGGCTGAGAAGGTATTAAAAAATATGGAACAGATTCCTCAAACGTGACATTAACATTAGTAAAGTATCGGCACAAAGAAGGACTGTAGCAACGATACCCCTTCTGCGTGCGGGAGTAACCAAGAAATACATATTTGGTAGTTCGAGGGTCAAACTTGTCAAATTCAGGACCCAAATTGTGAACATAACAAACACACCCAAAAATCTTAGGGGACAGGGAAAATAAGGGCTTACCGGGAAAAAGAACAGAATATGGGCTTTGCCCATTTAACACAGAGAATGACATACGAATAATAAGATGACAAGCAGTAAGAATAGCATCACTCCAAAATTATCGGAGAATATTCATCTGAAAAAACAAGGCACGAGTGACTTCCAACAAATGACGGTTCTTGCGTTCTGCAATACCATTCTGTGGAGAGGTGTAAGCATAAGAAGTCTGATGAATAATGCCAATTTTACTAAGATAAGTTAAAAAAATATCAGATTCATATTTTTGAGCATTATCGGAACGTAAAGTACGTAAACGACAATCATATTAAATTTTTATTTCCTCACGAAAGGTCTCAAATATAGAGAATAATTTACATTGAGCTTTCATCAAAAACAACCAAGTCACACGTAGGGATGTTCACCCTACCCTACGGGTAGGAAATATAGTCAAGTCACACGTAGGGATGTTTACTAAGCCAAATCAGAACCCTAGGAGCCATATCTAAGCAACCAAATAGGGGAAAAAACCAGAATCAAGGGATAAAAGAAAATAGCCCCTGTTTTTTCAAAAAGCATTCAAAAATAGAATACTTTACCTAGATAGCTTCAAAAAAAAATTGGCAAAAATCACCATGAGACTCCCCATAAAGAGCTGATCCAGGGTGTAGCTTCTGGTGACCTACAGTTGTTGACATCATGCTGACGTTAGCATGGCATCAGTCACTACAAATTGAGTTGAAGGGCTTCCACAATGTGTTCCAATGTTTTTTGATCTTCGATTAATGCTATGATATCAAATTGAAATAGAAAAAGTAATATTAGGATTAGAGAGAATGACAGCAGGAGAAGAATAAGGAGAGAATAATTTGTGTGTAGGCTACGTTGCCCTACACTCTTATTTATACTAATATGATGTTATGAGAATTACAATACTATCCTTCACTACTAAAAATAAGAAATAAGAACTCTAACAGTTACAATGAAGCTACTTTACTCTGCACCAAGGCCTACCCTCAATTATATCACTTATCTAGTGTCTGTATTGGTTCTAAAAGAAAATGAACCTCTATTGTTTCTCTTATGTTTGTTGTTTATCTAATTGCCAACATTGCATTTTGTTATTTGTTATCTATTTTTGCTTGTAAAACATGTGGAGGCTAATGCTATGATGTACAGATTCTGGAAGGATATAAAGAAGCAAATATTGGATTTGGAGCTGGTTACACCCTCAAAACTTCAATTGTGCGGGCTATATATGACTGCCCTTTCCTTAGTGTGGGTGTAAAAGTAAGAAAAAGTTGATATTCTGAAAGTTTTAAGTACGTTGCAGAAGCATGCTTTATTTCTTCTCATGTGGTTGCTTAGATGTTAAACTTATTTATGATACACAAATTTCCGATCATCATTGGCAATCGGCATATCATGCTAAGAGGTTACCAGGATTGGTTTCCTTCAGACTTTTCACTTAGACAAAAAAGCTGGATTCTTTGTTTACCTGTTATACTTCTGATCTACAGCTGTGCTACTTTTTTGATAATTTTTTTTCTCAGGACTTGAATGGAGTTGTCATATGCATCCTTGCAAGTTCAGGTGTTATCAACAGCAATGATGTGCACACCATTATTCAAAATTTTCGCCAAACTACAGAGTGCGAGGGGGAAATCGTAGTATCTGTAGTTCATGAACCCACTTTAGAGACCAACCTTATTGTGACAACCCTTATTACTGTAGGGTAAGAATGTCTTTCAGAGTAAAATGCTTGCTGAATGTTGTATATAGCCTTTGTGGTTATGCTGCTTTATGTCTTTTTTTTTGTTTTTTTGGTACAAGTCTGTTTTTTTTCTTGAAAGTTGAGCTTGATAGAGCATCCAACTTAAAACCAATTGGCAATGAGTGGAGAGGCCCTTTAAGCATGTTAACCAACCTTGGGTATTTGTGGGATACAAATTCTCTTTATGCCTCTCACATGGGACCTAGACTCGCATGTGGGGCTAAGAAACATACATACCAGAAATTCAAGTGGGTAAGATATTTGCTTGTTGACCATCCAAGACCCAGCTTTGATATCATGTTAGAGGCTTAGAGCATCCAATTCAAAATCAATTGACGATGAGTGGAAAGGCTCTGTAAAATACTAACCAACCTTGGGTGGTCCTAATTATTCGATAAGAGATACAAACTATTTTTACAGAGCTTGCTAGTGGCCTTGAACCAGTTAGGCGGACTTTATTTGATTTGTTTTTGCAATTATCTGGTTAAATTTCTGCATTACATTTCCTAATTATTAAATGTGTATGTGGATTGCAAAAGAAATCTTTGACACGAGGTAAAAACATAAGAAATTTGTTTATTGCAGTAGATAAAGGCGAGAGTACTTGCTATTTTTTATATTTTGTCTATTCACATTGGTGTTACTTTAATTGTATTATTCAATAGCATATAAGGTTATGAAACTCTCTCAAACGGTGTGACTAAAATAATATGTCTGATATAAACTTGCTGTATAATAATATATTTAATATTTAGGTGGCCATGTTCATAAATTAGGTAAAATACCTTATACCTATTTTCCTCAAGCAGCAGGGCTTGCTAATTGTAACAGTCTATCCAGCTGCCACGTGTCATGCCTCCCTGAGTTCTTTTTTTTTTAGTATTTTTTTTTTTTAGATATAATATAGGTTGAAGAACTTTGCCTTCAATGAATGAAAACGTTGGAGCTAACCATAGGAATATGTTGTAGGCTGCTGGGCACCCTGCCAGCCAGCTGCCATGTGTCCATTGTTTTATGAGTATATTTAATGTTAGGTTTTTCTATCATTTTCAATCCATGGCCTAGCAATGGTGTGCATAAGTTTTGATCAAGAACAAATTGATATTATTGTTAAGTCATTAGTACCTCTCTGGAAATTGAAATTACCAAATTCGGGCTTTTACATCTGTTATGATTTTTTTCCTCATCAGAGAGAGAGAGAGAGAGAGAGAATATTGTTTCATGCCCTCTACATCTTCGTTGCTATGGTTTCTGGGTTCAGTGTCAGTTATGACAATTTCTTGTCTCCTTATGATAACTGTTGTGTTATAGTTTAATTCCAGTTATGTATACTTTTGATTATCTTTCACTTTTTTGTCCTCTTAATTCTAATGCTTAAATGTACTCTGATTATCAGTTTTTCTGGACGGGAGACTTCTCATAAAAATAGCATATTCTCTAGACTGGCAGAACACTTTCCATTTATTTTCAATCTCTTGGGGAAGCACCATCCACAGTCTCACAACACTAAAGAAAACTATTCACCTGAGCGTTCATGTCTTTCTGAGATGATAAATAGACTAGAGTCCACTGAATTGCCTAATATAGTCCCCGTGGACGGCACAGCTGAAGGTTTTGGTATTTACTCTGCCGAACTCCAGATGTTATTGAGCAACAGTGGTGACGAAATATATCCTTTTAGGTTTTTAGTTCCTCCCTTCAATTCATCTTCAGATTCTGTAGTACCAAAGGTGTCCACAAATTTCGTACTAATTTTTATTATTGTAGAGGACATGATTGTAGTTCTGAACAAAGCGAAGCTGAATTCTTAGAGGCCAGTGCAGATTCTTCCATGGCTTATGACCGAAACACTGGAGGTACGCTTAGGGTAGTTTTAGTATTATTTGGTTCACCTTTGGCTTTGAATCAAGGAACAAAATTTTGTTTTGGTGCATTGTTTTGATCACCTAAGAAATGAAAATGTTCCGACATGTTTCGAAAACGTTTCGACCCATTTTGAAAACATAATTAAAAAAAATAAAAAATTTAAGAATTTATTTCAAAACATTGATCGAAATATACCAAAATATCTTGAAATACCTTGAAATATTCCGAAATAATTGTGTAAATGCATTGAAATATAACAATACATTTTGAAATATTATGAAACGCGTCGAAATATTAGAATTTTATTTTATCACTGATTCGTTTCGGTCTCCTTTGAAACAGAAACATTTCGGATGTTTGACCGTTTCGAAACGATATTTTGATCCTTGCTTTGAATCATTTATAAATAGTAAATAAGTTGAATAAACACGTTGGAATTTCATTATAGGAGCACCCACTTTTCAAAGGGAGATGCTTCTTAGACATGATATGGGTCCCGGAAATCATTTTGCACAGGAGTGGGCCACCAAGGGGGCCACTGATTCTGGAGCAACTCGAGTGCTGGACAGTCCGATGCTTTACAGACTTCCCATCGGTGTGAAACCTTCAGAGTTGAAAGATGGTCCCAACGTCTCAAACACTAGTGATCATCCAGAGAAAACAATAATAAATGATATAAAGGCACAGCCTCAGGTTACTCCAAGTATGCCTTTGGATCCACCGACTGATGCAGGTTTTGAAGCCGTAATGGACATCTTTAATAACACATCTGTGTTACTGAAGGGAGATAACACTAATGTTTCCAAGAAGCAAGGAGTGCTTTCTGTTCGTGCTGCATCTATGCTGGTAAAGGTGTTTCCTTCTTATGCTTTCTATGCTAATTGCTCCAGCTAGAAGGCATATAAATATCTGAAGATCTCTCTGTTTACAGGTCATAATAATGCTTGACCTTTCATCATATTACACATCATTAGCATTTTAGTTGAAGAAAGAGTTCTTTCTTTTATATTCTTATACATTGAATACTTGAAGGAGAAATAAAGATATTTTCCTAGCAGAATGGATTTCACTTTTTTTCCTTAAATTTGATAGCTTGTAAAATGCCTTGATGAGGTTAGTAATAGTAATTTATTACAGTTAGTGTGGTAAGATGGTGTAAAACCTTGAAGCTATTTACTTGTAGGGTGGTTAAGTTTCAAAAGTAATTTGAAGTGGTTGCCTTAGTTCCACTATGAAAAGCCAATAATTGAAACTTTGTTTCCTCCTATATTTCGGTGATATCAGAATCGTATGATGACTTGTGTCACTGGAGTCAAATTACACACAAATTTTTGTCTCGTGATGGCACTGAGATCCAACATAAAGACAATATATCAAATAGGGTATGGGCAAGAATTAAACACATAGTCGGCACACCAGTTTACAGGCCGACACGACCTGACCATTTACTTCTTAGGCAAGTACAAAGGAATCCGGCTAAGGGTTTGTTACAAAACTTGCCCAATCCCTCTTCGGGTTGCTGCAGATTATGGTATGTGTATTTAAAGCAAATACATGGCGGTTACAACCCAACCGCATAGGCAATCCTGACACCAACCAGCTTTAGCCAAATCAGCAATGCAGTTGACATGCTAGCACCAATCAAATTCGCCCTAAGGGTCTGGGTTGGTTTTCCCACGACCACCACTTATGTTTGAGCCAATCTGAAGCGCCCCTTGCTTGTTGGAGCATTTGTGCTTGAGTGACTACCTTATGAGTCAGCCTACACCTGCCTAGAACTGCCCCACATGATCAGCACATGTCATCATTGTCTGCCGTTAGCATCTGATTTCCATTGCTAGCATGCCAAGCCTTGTCTAGCCCATGGCTTGGTCTTCCAACTATGCAATGCACCTTAATCAAAGCCCACACGGCTATGCCTTGTTTGCTTGCTTGTACCCAATGTGCCCATGATGTGCTGCCTCCCTCGGACATGCATGGGACTTCCGAGATAAACAGGTCCCACCATACCTCGGCTCCACGTTTCTTGGGTCTCAACTTTTACATGTCTTGCCCACACCCAGGACAAACATTCTTGGGGTTGTGCGTTGCTTTGGCGTGTCAAGGCTAAGGGGAATAAGGGTTGCCAGTTAAGCATGGTTCAAAGTTGCAGTATCGGCCATTGACTCGGAGGGTACTGATACACATCGATCAAGGCGTCTCAGTCGATACGCTCAAAATGCTAGATAGAAAGCTCAACAAATTCTAAAAAAAATTATGAAAAATATTTAAAAATGTAAACAATAACATCCATAGATCATATCTCAAAATACATAATCTAAGACATTCAACATAGTAAAAAGGAATTATGAGAGTGCTACCAAAAATATTTATCATCATGAATATTCAATTTAAGCATTTAAAAAAATACCTAGCTCATTGCCACATTTTATAATTAAACAACACATAAAAAATACCCAAAAATTTATTTTGATTTATATATGGGAACATATAAGAATTTAAAGAAATTTTAGTTTATATATTTATTGATATAATAATCATGTAATCTAATTTTATACTAGTTAAATAGGGTTTTAATATACATGGTATACTCCCAATGCCCACAGACTGATATATAAAATTGTATTGACTTGGACCTCCTTCTTACTCAATGCATTAGTAACCTTATTCAGCCTTCTTAGCCTATGTATCCACACGAAATCAAACTCAACAAGAAATTCCTGCCAATGGACCTATTTTGGGGTCAATTTCTTCAAGGACTTGAAGTAGGTGTTCACCACATTCCCATCACAACGGTGAACTTTGTTCCCAATAAGTAATGTCTCCAAATCCCCAAGCAATGCACCAGCATTTCCTTCTCATGTGTTGAATAGCGTTGCTTTGCATCCTTAAGCATTTGGCTTTCAAAGGCAACAAGGTGTCCTTCCATAACTGGGACTCATCGTATGGCACGGCCAGAGGCAAGTGCACTTCAAAGGGCAAATCGAAGTCTACAAGTCTTAGCATTGGTGCAGGAGACACTGCATCCTTCAACTTCTTAAAAGCAATCTGACAGGTATCATTTCAGTTCCACTTTTGATCCTTGTTGAACAAATCAGTCAAGGCATTGCATTTCTTTGAATATCTTTGAATGAACTTGAGATAATTGTTGGCTAAACCAAAGAAAAAACCATAGTTCTGACACTTTGGTTGGTACAAGTCAATCAACAATTGTCTTCACCTTCCTTTTCGTCCATCCGAATCTGGCCTTTGTTAATCCAATTTCCCAAGACATCTTTTTTTGGTGACAGAATTCACACTTTTCTTTCTTGATATACAACTAGTACTCTCTAAGTTGTGAGAACATTTTTCGACGGCTCACTATAGACAATTATGTCATCTAAGAAAACAACCAGAAATACATCGATGTAATCATAAAAAATATCATTAATTAAATTGTAGAAAGTTGTCGAGGCATTAGTAAACCCAAACGACAATACAAGGAATACAAAAGAACCATAACGAGTTATACAAGCGGTCTTGGGTTCATCTCCTGCTGTAATCCTAACATGCCAATGCCTAGCCCTCTGGTCGAGATTTGTGTAGAACGTCACTTTGGAGACCCTATTGAACAACATTGGGAACATGATACTTATTTTTGATAGTAACCTTGTTCAGGGCCCGATAGTCAATGCACATCCTCAGCGAACCGTGTTGTGTTACATAAATTCTATGCCTGGAACTTTTGTTGAACACCTTAGCTATGTCATCTTGCACCAAGTCCAGCATGCATCCAAGTCTTTTGGGAGCCATCTTGCACAATGGGGTACTTATCCAAGCACACCTGCATCTTGACTGCGGAATAGGGCACCAGTGGGCCTGCCACCCGCATGACTTAGCCATGCCAACAAGCTAAGGGGCTAACAGCTAGACACAAGAAATATCAGACATCGTTAATGTATCATTCATAGACTAGTTGATATCTGCTGGTATGTGCACTATTTTTTGATTGGCATCATTGTGTTTTAAGCAGTTTATGAACTTTCCTATTTTGTTTGAATTTTTCTCAAGGAACAGAGGGGGTGCAAAATTTATTATCATCACAAAAATGAAAAAAAAAGACTCCAAAGTAGAAGGCATTGTATACCAGTTGAAAGGTCTAGCATTCAATGATTTATATATTGTAATGACTGGTTTGGTTCTATCTTATTGTCGTTTCCTGCAGTTGACATTTATCTTAAAGATTTCTTTAATTTTAACTGCCCAGTTTGCATGCAGGAAGCTGAAAGAAATTCACAAAAGAAGTGGAGTCCTGTGGTGGAGATGAAATACCGAGGAGGGATATACAATGGCCGTTGCCAAGGAGGTCTCCCTGAAGGGAAGGTAATGTAATGAAGCACTGTAGTGTTGGGCAAAGCTCTTTTTCTGGGTGCGTTGATTTTTCTGTTGATTTAAAGCCAGATTTTTCAGGGTCGTGTATCTTTCGGGGATGGAAGCGTATACAATGGCATGTGGCGATATGGTAAGAGATCAGGTCTCGGTACTTTCTACTTCAGTAATGGGGATGTGTTCCAGGGATCTTGGAGAGACGATGCTATGCATGGCAAGGTATGGGTCTTTCCACTTGTCCAATCTTAAATGTATTATTGTATCTCTTTCTTGCTGAAACCATTCTCAAGTGTATTTTCAACACTTCCTGCCTGTGTTGGTTCTTAGGCACCCCATCTAAGTAGTCAGCTAGTGTCATGCCTATCTTTCCCGTGTTCTAGAAATTGAAGCCGCCTTGACCAACTCCAACATTGCTATTGCTGTAATCATGTGAATTGCATTATTTTTCATGATTCTTGCTCTTCTTGGCTGGATTGTTCTGAAAAGATTATAAAATTTTCACTTATGACTCAACTGAAACAGTATTGATTGTAGATTCTTGTCTTGTTTTACTTTCGCATGACAAGTTGTTTGGTGTTGGGTTGTTATACCCAATAATGTGCAACACTTGTTCAGTTGCTTATTTTGAATAAAACCCTCAATAGAAGAAAACTTTTCTGTAGTTGGTTTCTAAGAATTTACTTCTGAAAATTTACTTCTGGTGGCTCTGTGTCAGTTTTGTTTTGTGTAATCATGTAGGGGAATGGCTTTATTTTCGCACTGGG